CACCACCCAGGCTTTTGTTGCTGATTTGCTGCAGAGTGAGTGGTGGGTAGGGGTGGGCTTTACCCATGGGGCACCTGGCAGGGCTGTGAGACCCACCCCTAGGGGATGTGTTGCCGTGCTCCACCCTGGCGCCCACACTTGTGCTCTGAGACACAGTCTGTTTGCCCCCAGGCAGGCCCTACTCTGTGCCTCCCTGTGTGGAGGAGGCTCCAGGGCAGAAGCGCAAGAGGAAGGGCACCACCAAGCTGCAGGACTTCCACCAGTGGTACCTGGCTGCCTGTGAGTGGGTGTGGTGGGGTGGGGCTTGGCAGGGCCACAGCGGGAGGGTCCAGGTTGGCCTACAGGGGCTTGGTTTCTGCTGACCGAGCTTGCTTACAGATGCTGACCATGCTGACAACAGGAGGCCCCGGCGAAAGGGCCCGTCCTTTGCAGGTGAGGCCAAGAGCCTGTGTGGCTCCTCCTCCGGGGGATGACGGCAATGCACTCTGCCTGCCTCCCCTCAGCCCAGGGATGCCCAAGGCCCTGGGTGGGTTGGGCTGGTCTAGGTGGGACGGGGAGCCCCTCTCACAAGCCCTTGTATGCAGACATGGAGGTGCTGTACTGGAAGCACATGAGGGAGCAACTGGAGGCCCTCCGGAAGCTGCAGAGGAGGGAGGCAAGTGCCAGCGCTGCCAGATCCCAAGCAGCCCCTGGCACCAGATCGTGCCCTCACAGATGTTCTCTCTGCAGAGGGCAGAGCGGTGGCTGCCAAGGGCTGAGGCACTGTGGACTGCAGAGGAGGACCACCTGGAGGACTCCCTGGAGGACCTGGGGGCAGCAGGTGGGTGCCTACTGGGGCGGGCTCGGGGGCTCAACACCCGCTGCCCACTGACTTGCCTCCTGCTGGGGTGGCCCTGCCTCCCAGCAGATGACTTTCTAGAGCCTGAGGCATATGCAGAGACCGAGGGGTCAGAGCCTGGGGTAGCTGCAGACCCAGGTACTTGTGAGAGGGTTGCCAGCCAGGGGGTTGTGAGGGGCCTGAGGATGGGCAGGAGGAT